TCGATTGACTAGAGAATCAGGGGTTAGGTAACAACTGACTCTGATCTCATCGGCCGCTCCAGATTAACTGGACTGACTTCCTTCTAAAGCATTAGTCTTTGCTAATAGGCGATAGCCTGTGGAGGTGTATTGCGATCCACTTTGCTGTGCACTCGAATGCACAACCATGTATTTTTTATGAGCACGTGGCAGGGCAGTCTAATTTATACAATGCAATGGAACACTATTTATTCTTTGTTTTGATTCATCCTGCACTTGGCATCAGTCATGAGTCCTGTCTAGTTTACTACAGCAGTCAGATGTCTGCCGAATCTAACCAGTTAAGTGGTATTATTAGTGAAAAGGGCGGTTGTTAGTTCACAGTCCGAAATCGGTTCTATTGTGAAAGGGTGGGTCTGTCCTCGTTGTGAACAAAATTTGACTATAGATTGTTCCAGGTCTCCAGTAGCTAAACTTGAAATTTGGCCCATCATCCACCTTTTATCTGATCACCAAGTCTCTTATTCCATCTTAAGGAATGGTCGATTTGAGATAAATGGATAGATGGATGCACGAAGATTGAGTGTCGCATATTCCTTACAGTCTTAACTCATGAGCTGTCAAAAACAAGATCTATTTACACTGGAATCAATCGACGAGGAAGCCTAGGGAGACAACTTCGTTGCATAATTTGTTCCTGATCTAGTTATTTATGGCTCGTTTATCCACTCTGAATCTACTCACATACTCTGGATCAATTCAGCTACTTTGTTTTTGATTGATTCATTTAGTAGACCTTCAATATATAGGCATTCCTATTTGCACAAGACCTTGACTTCTCGTTCCCTGATTCCGGCTTCGTTTTTGCAGTACCCTCAACTCAACTGGCTTGACCTTCGTGGCATCCCTCTGAACCCTGCTGGCGCAAGACACCTCAGCCGCGGGCTCACCTCCCAACGTGATGAGGCGCGTAAAGTGGTCACCAAGTTTCTCAATGTCTGCACCGGTCAGGAGCTTGTCAACTCTGATTCCGCTCGCGACGCCCTATTCGATGTTGAGGCTTTCCAGCTTACCTTTAATGTCTTCTTCTCCTACTTGCCTACACCCGCTGAAGTACACACCCTTTCTGGAGCGTTGCAATGTCTACCTCCCCTCTGTCTTCGAGGTCTCCATCTGGGCGAGACGGGGCTTTGTGGGTCCGCGTTACTGGATGTTACCGCGGCGATTAGGGTGGCGGGACATCTTCGGGATCTGCGGTTACCGGGAAACAAGCTAGGAGCGCACGATATAGAGTTGATGACGCCATTGTTGCGGTATTATCCGGGACTGCAGGTGTTGGATTTGAGTCACAATGACCTTGGGGTGAGTTGGATGATTGAATTGAAAATTCAGAGAGATATGAATAGGCTAGATTGAACAATAGTGGGTGCCCCCACTGTTAATTAAAAACTGGGTAGCTTTTATGACAGGACGAAGTTTGTTTCTGTTTAAGGGTTTTTTTCTTCTAAAAGGTGGATTGGACGTGGTGATAGATGGAAGCAGTACTCTCTAGTTCATAAAACTTTACTTTGAATTGTTTCATAGATTCGTCCATCCGTATCCCACACCAACACATCTCTGCTGCATGTTCTCGTACCCATTTCAACTTCATTTATTGACTCAGTAGTTATCTAGTCAATCAA